CGACTAGGCTGCCATTCAGTTGAAAAAGTAGTATCACGAACGCCGCCACGAGTCCCCCAACAGAACGGGCTAGATGTGATGGTGGAGCAGCTGGTGTTATTTTCTTCGAACTAATTAGATCTTATGACCGTGATGAATGACGTAAAGAACTTTATTTTTACCCTTTCGAGGAAAATATCAGCGGCTAATGATATTTTAACATAATTACTAAGATTCTGAGAAATTAATGTATTTAATTCTTGGAAAGTCGTATAATAATATCTTTCTATATCTTTAAAATTATATCTCAATATAAAACTATCGATCATTAATTTTAATTGTTTGGGGATTATGTATAATAAAATTAATCAATGTTGTAATTTTATGATTTTTTAATACAATTTGCGGAAATTAAAATCTATTTTATACGTAACAACACTGAATAAAACGGTAATGGTTTAACAGATTTACGATTTAGTTTAATTATTTCAAGACGGTGGTATTAAGTTTTATGTGGACGTAGGTTAAAAAAGGATGATGGTTTCTGAGATCGTTATATGTTACATCTTTTTCTCGTATTTCAAGAAGAGGAACGATATACGACGCAGGAAAATACATACCACCAGGAAAAGTTTCAGCTGATCATTCCCGAACACAAAACTTAATATAATAAATCACAGTTGTCTAGAAGAAATTTTCGCGCAATGTATTTTTTTTCTGACCTCACTGCGTCATGTGGTGTTAATATAGGATGTTCTTGGTGTTTTATTCTAATGGTGTTAATTAAATATCCGTGGTTAATTAATGCATTACGTTGATGATTACTAAAAAGAATATAGTTGTTTTTTTCCTCCTCGCTTACAGAAGAAGTATGTCGCTCCGTTTTCTTTTACGTAACTTAAGAGAGCGGACAGTGCTTACTCTCTTTTCTCTCTCTCTCTTTCTCTCGCCACACGTGAACCTTGCCTCACCTGTTACACATCTAGCGTACATCGTTTTTCCTTACTTCCTTCTCCTCTTCTGCCTCCTCTCTTCCTCTCCTCTTCCTCCCTCCTCCTCTCCTGTCTACTGGTCGTGTCCTGAATATTATAATGTGAAACTGAAAATGGCTTCTCATCTGAAGTTCAATTTCATCAGTAAATGGTAAAGTGACCAAGTAAATGGCATCAAAATTCACTGAGATTCCATTTATTTTCCACTGTTTGTTAGATAAAATATGACGTTAATAATCTCTCAAAAATGGGTGTTTGGTATATTGAACACTGCTAAAGATGTACTACGAACTACGACACATAAATAGGTCGTTATTTTTATTTTTTAACCAAACGTGATTCAATATCCACCTTAAGAAATTTAAGTTTAATTAGATTGGGTTGATTAGGTTGGGTTAGGTTGGTTATATTAGGTTGGGATAGGTTCGTTTAGGTTACATTGCTGGATATACTAAACTAGATTTTACACTCGTTAGGTAAGGGCGTGCCACTTTACACATAAGCCAATAGCTGTGTACGTGACATTGCCTATCACACCAAGTCTTGCCTTGATAACAGTACCATGAAGAGAGAGAGAGAGAGAGAGAGAGAGAAGATTCTAAAACGATATACACAAGTCTACCGCAAGCTGCAGGTCAGAATAAACTCAAATAAATTAAGTATTTTTTTTAGTTCTTCTTGGTTGTTTACGGAGGTGTTGTTATCGTTGTTTTTTTTCTTATGGTTTCTCTTCTCCTCTTCCTCCCTACCTCCTCTTCTTCTTCTTCCTCCCACCACCACCACCACCTCATCCTCCTCCCCCTACCCCTCTTCTTTTTCTCTCGTCTCTTGTTCCTCCACATCCTCCATCTCTTCCTCTCCCTCTTCCTCCATTGCCAGTATTCTTCTTTTTCATCATCATCATCATCATCATCTTCTTCCTCCTCCTCTTTTTTCATATCTTCCTCTTCCTCCCATTCTTCATCCTCCTCCTCTTCCTCTTCATTGTTCTCTATATCCTCTCCCTCCTCCTTCGTTCTCCTCTTCCACCTCCTCCTTCTCTTTCTTATTCCTCCTCCTCCTTTTTCCTTTCTTCCTTCCTTCTTCATCCTCCCCACCCCTCTTTCTCCTCCTTCGCTTTCTTCCTTCCCTCTTTTACCTCTTCGTCTTCCTCCTCCTCCCCTCCTCCTTTTCTTCCTCCTCCTCCTCCCTCCTCCTTCTTCTTCCTCCTCCTCCTCCTCCTCCTCCTCCTCCTTCTTCCTCCTCCTCCCCTTCTTCTTCCTCCTCTACATACAGTAAGGAGCGATGTACTTTCATCTCAAAGTGAGACCAAGCTTATGTAACTGTGTGTGTGTGTGTCGTCTGTGTGTTGTGTGTGTTGTGTGTGTGTGTGTGTGTGTGTGTGTGTGTGTGTGTGTGTGTGTGTGTGTGTGTGTACTTTTTTAGTTTGCCTGTTCTGAGTAATTCAGTCAGGTCTTGACACTGAGGTGATGTCGCGTTCACTGCCACCAGGACAGAGGTTCATATACATTGGACGTCATATTCTAATTGAAGATTAATCAGTGGGGCGTCTATTATTGTGCAAATTAACAGACACAGGTGCCATGTACGTACAGACAGACAAGAGAGAGAAGAGAGAGAGCTATACTTCTCTTGAGGGGGTGGGGTACAAAATATATATTTATTATTGATAAAGTTGTGTCGGTCGATATATAGGGACGGACCCGGGTGTAGGTGGAGAAACTCTCTCTTTTATCTTATTATATCGTTTTCTATCATTTTTTTGTTTGTTTTTCACTCTATTTCCCTTAAATATTCTCTCTCTCTCTCTCTCTCTCTCTCTCTCTCTCTCCTCTTTTGTATATATGTCTGTTTGTCTCTTTCTTTTTTCTTTTAATTCTATTTCTCTCTCTCTTCATTACTTTATCCATTTCACCATCCATCCATCATCCATTTCAACATCTATCTACCTGTCTCTACATCCATTCATCCATCCATCCATCCATGGTTTATTTACACATTATTATAATCAGGATCACGAGACGAGTAAGTGACCAACCCATCCCACCTAATTCCTCCAGCCAGTGTGTGACGTAACGTAGACACCTGCTGCTGCTACCTGCCCGGGCCAATGTCCCTCCCCCCTTCCCCCTCCCCTCCCCCTCTCTCCCCTCCTTTGGTATTGCAGGTTCTTTCTCTGTCTGGCTTTGATGAGGAAATAAATAGGAGGTATAGGGAGGGTATGGAGAAGTGGAGGTATAGGGAGGAAGGGAGGGTATAGGGAGGGGGTAGGAGGTATAGGGAGGGGGTAGGAGGAGTATAGGAGGAGAGTTCTTGGAGAGAGGTAAGAAAAGGAGAACAAAGAGGGCCAGGAGAGAAGAGAGAGGAGGTGAAGCAGGAGGAAAGGGGAGGTGAGGCGAAAGGACGGACAGGTGCGTATGTGAAGGGAGGAGGAAGAGGAGGAGGAGGAGGAGGAGGTGACTGTTGGTTATGTCACAAGGGCGATGTTGTTGCATCCAGGAGCTGTTACTAACCCACGTAACATACAGAGGGAGGAGGAGGAGGAATAGAAGATGGAATAAAAAAGGCGAAAGGATCAATGAGTTAAGATAATAATAATAATAATAATAATGTGTACACCAACATATATAGACAAGACAAACGAACAGCTATATACAGACACAAATATAAACAGACACAGACATACATCACAGTCATGAATATACAGGATGTCCCATTGGTCATAACATAGGAAAATTAATATGTTTCTTGATTTTTCACACACACACACACACATACGCGCACAGACAGACACACACACCGCGCGCACGACGGACTACACACACACCCCACACGACACACACACACACCCCGCACAACCCAGACACACACACACGCCCGCACGGACAGACACACACCCGCGCGCGCCTCCCACGGACAGACACACACACACACCACCTCGCGCAGTCCACCACTACAACAAAATTCAGCCCATAAGAGCCCGCACTGATAGATATAAGAACAGCACCATCCCATCTATTGTTAAAATAACAAACAACTCCTGCACTGTACAGCCCTGTAAATGTATTCAATGCATATTATATCATTATGTCAAAATCAAATATAAGTCTGTATATTTTGCAGCCACCAGCTCCTCTAATAATAAACCAATTATTATTGTGTATTATTGTTATTATTACACACACACACAAGCACGTCCCTCCCACTCAGCTCCTATCTCCTCCCTCCCACCTCCACCACCTCTCTCCTCACCTCCCCCACACTTCCACCTCCCCTCCCTCCCCACACACCTCTCTCCACCTCCCCCCCCCCTACACACTTCACCTCCTCCTCACACCTCCCTCCCCCTCCACCTCTCCTCCCCCCACTCCCCTCCTCCCTCCCTCACACCTCCTCCCCTCCCTCACCTCCTCCCTCCCTACACATCCTCCCTCCTACACACCTCCCTCCCACACACTTCTCCCTCCCCCTACACACCTCCCCCCTCTCCCTCTCCCTCCACACTGAGATGTTTGGACTGAGCCCTGTACAAAGTTGAAAGACAACAGCGCTTCTGCCACCCTGTGGACAGTTCCCTTCGATATCACAATACCGACATATCCACCTAAAATTAATTATACAAAGCAATTTATCTCCAACACACTGCCAAAGTGAGAGCTCTTGCACACATACACACTCTACAGACTGATGGTAGTATCACACACAGACCATCTACTGATGGATCTCTTAACCGCCACCATCCCCATCACCACCACCACCACCATCACACCACCCACCACCACCATCACCACCACCACCACCACCACCACCACCACCACCATCATCATCATCATCCTCCAGGTGGTCCCTGGGGTGCCCTAAAGTTCAGGTAGAATTCCTAAAG